AGTACAAATTTATTAATTTAAAATGAATAGATATTGCTACTAGTACCATTTATACAGCACTTTGCCAATTGTTTGAAATAGTCTCTTTAATAATTTATAAGGTTTTTTAATCAAAGAAATATTGAGTGATCGACTCTTGGGGCTTAAAGGAACAACAAGGGGTCATTTAATCCATCTCCTTACCTTGAAAGAGAATGACTTCTATCCCAGTCAGACAAAATCATTCTTTTCCTCCTCCTCTTCTTACTGCTCATTATCATCATCCAAAACAACTTTTAAAGGGTCCATTTGTAAGTGGGATTGTGTTTGGCACTGTGTAGGCCTTGAAAAATTTACTATGACACAGAGACAAAGCACACGTAAAATTCAAAGCATTGCATGCATAAACACTTAAGACAAATGCTATACATAAAAATACAAGACTTTTTTCTTCCCACTTATCTGTATAAACATTTTCAGCTCCAGCTAGATAAATATAGGTGGGTTTTTTGTTTTGTTTTGCTTTGTTTTTTTAGTGGTATTAGGGTTTGAACTCAGAGCCTTGCTCTTGCTAGCCAGGTAACTCTACCCCTTGAGTTGCTCCTTGTGCCCTAAACATATGCAGAAATAAACATAACTATACAAGCATATGCACGTATGCACTGAAAAAAAAGATTTGGGGAAGCCTGGCAGCTTTTAAATATCTGAAGGACTGTCATGTAGAAGAAAGGTGAGATTTGTTTTGTGTAGCTATGCGGTAGAACTAGGACCCGAGATGAAACAGGTGAAAATTCAAGGGTTCGTGTTTTGGTTTATCTTTATGAAGGAATTTTTAATAATTAGACCCCTTCAAAATAAATGGACTCCCTACTGGAGTTAGTAGAGGGGATTCCAGGAGCTAAGTGACTTCTAAGTACAAAAGAATTTTTAAACCCTATGGAAAAAAAAAAAGGAAAAAGAATGTAGATTCCAAAAATGATATCGGAGCTGGCAGAATGGCTCAAGTGGTAGAGTGCTTGCCTGGCAAAAGTGTGAAGCCCTGAGTTCAAACCCCAGTACCGAAAAAAAAAATGTAGATTTCAATCCTATGACATGGGCCTTGTGTCAAATTTTAACATATTTGGAGGATGCAGAGGAAGGGAAGTTAATTTTATAGGCAAAAACTTGTTGCAGCTGTGTTTAAGTATAGGCTGGGTAGACTCCTGGGAACCTATTGTGTCTCTGTAAGTAAGTCTGAGACTCTCTTGTGAAGGAGGCAGGGTCTGAGTAGAATCCTGAATACTAAAGGGAGGCACTGTGGAGCTAGACTGGCGAGAACATGCTTATTACAAAAGTCCTAGGTAAAAAGGGGACAATCCAGAATTAGGCTGATTGGATAAACAGCATATGGCTGTCATAGGCGAGGTGGGGGGATGGAGGCACAGGAGATGAACATTAGGCAATTATAGATTGGAAAGTAATTTTGAAACAGAAGGTGAAAATGTTGCACTTTGTACAAAATGATGACGAGGAGGAGCAAGGTGAAAGCAATGAGAGTTTCTGTTAGTGAATTGCTTTGTGCTAAACTGAAGAATCTAGAAAGAGGCTAGTAGAAGAATCCAGCAGAGAGAGCAATGGTGCCCTACAAAACATTGTTCATACAGATGTGGACAAGAGAAAGCTGCAGAGATACTGCAAAACTTTTTTGGTTTGTTTTTGGCGGTACTAAAGTTTGAACTCAGGGTTATGTACTTTCGAGGCAGGTGCTCTACTGCCTAAGCCACATGCCCAGTCCTGCAAATATGGCAAGAGCCTGGAAAGACAGACTGGCAAGGACAAGGATCAGTGCAATACTGCTCACAAGCAAAGAGTGCTGTTGCTCCTTTTATCAGGAGGATGAGGCTGCTGAGCAGTAAGGCTGGCTCAAGCCACCACCATGCAGCAGCCCTGTCTCTTCTTTTTCTGTGTTGTGGGGGATCTGAGGGCCTTGTACATACTGGGCAGATGTTCTACCATAAAGTGGTACCCTGCTTTCTACCCCTGCCTGGACGTCCCAGTTGCCTTCAATCCAGGTTGAGATGGTACCACTAGAATTGTTTTAAATATTGAGGTCTGGTATAGACCACTGAGAACCTTAAATAATTGTCAGGCAAATCTCTTGGGCTTGGTGACATTGAGGCAAGGTAGTCACTAGTTTATTCACTGCCTCATAGTCCCCGTTCTCAAAGTTCTAATTTCACTTTGAAAATGGAAGAGTGAAAAATGTTTATAAGACAACACATGTATCCTGAGTCTCTACCTACAAGATATGTAGTCTAGATAGGATCTTAAGAATCAGTGGGCTGGGCATGTTGGCTGATGCCTGTAATCTCAGCACTGAGGAGGCTGAGGCAGGAGGGTCCACATTCAAGGCCAGACCAGGTTACATAGCAAGTTTGAGGCCAGCTTGGAGTTACATAGTAAGACCCTGTCTCAAAAAACAAAACAAAAAACAAGCAGAAAGAAAAAAGAAAAAAGAATCAATGGTAGGGGAGTCCACATACAAAATAAAGGTATTATGTTCAGATGCAGGTAGCTGTCTTGGTATTTTTTTTAGTTATATTCAGGGTGGCAGGTGAAGGGGGCTCAGCTGAATAAATTCTGTAAAATTTGTTCCAAGATCTAAGTACATACGACTTGAAGAAGTTAGCCTTATAAAAGTTTATGAACTCCAAAAACATTATATTTTTGTACTAATAACATACACTTACGTGACACTAGTATATGCCAAATACTGTTTTAAGTACTTTATACACATTAGCCAATTTAATTCTCATAATACCCTGTAAGGTAGGTACTATATGATGAACTGAGACACACAAAGCTTAGATATTTGTCCAAAATCAAATAGCTAATAAGTATCAGAGCCAAGTTTTATTTGTTTTTGAAACAGGATCTCCCCATGTAGCCCAGCTGGTCTGGAACTCCTGATCCTCGTACTTCAGTCTTCTGAGTGCTGAGATTACAGGTGTGAACAACCACTGGGATTACAGGTGTGCACCACTACGCTTAGCCAAAAAAAAGTATTTTAAGTGCAGGAAAACTTAGATCTACATAAAAATTCATATTCCATCCAATATTAAAACGTAGTGTTTCTCTTCCCATTTTGAGGGGTAAATTTAGTTATTTCTGGTCATGCCCTGGATGGTAATGGAATAATTTCATTGTGCTCTTCTAACAGTGGATATTATGTCAGTGGATGGTTGGTTCATCTAGAGTTAGCCTGGGGATGTAGTTCAGTGGTAGAGCACCCCAGTCTGGTTGTATGAAAGACACTTAAGAGAGAGTTACATCCACCTCTTTCCCCAACCCTGTCTTCCCAGTGGTTGTTTCTGTTCATTCTTTGCAATGGCTCTCATCCTCTCTAATGTTAAGCAAAATTTCCAGTAGTATCTACAGTCACTAATACCTTTTATAGAGCAAATAAGGAAACCAAAGGAATGGCAGAAGGAAAAGCATTATCAAGTTCTTTGATAATTAAAAACGTTAGATGAATATTAAGGTGCAAAAATACACAGTGGAAGCAATAGTGAGTGAATTGCATATGAAAAAAAATCACTTCTCCCTAATTCAGTCTTTTTAGAGAAAATCCACCTAAAAATGGGCAAATTCTGACTCAGAAACAATGTCGAAGATGTATTTTTTTTCTCCTTTGTCATTCAAAGAAGACCTGACTATGTGCGCAGTAAATAAAGCATGCCAGTGGGAAGGTGAACTTTATCATCAAGCATTGTGAAAAAAACAGAAACACATGGTTAGATAGATGGCAAAGGAGGAATTCAAGGGGCTACAATTGCTTTATCAATGAAACTAGAGCACACATAACCCAGGCCAATGCAACTTAACATTGAGAAATAACTTCGAGTTGGCACAGAGGCTCACGCCTGTAATCCCAGCTACTCAGGAGGTGGTGATTCAGATGGATCACATCTGAATCCAGTCCTGCTGGATCAAAAAGTTAGCATGATCTTATCTCAACAAACAAGGCAGGTGTGGTGGAACATGACTGTAATTCCAGTGAGGCGGGAGGTGTAGATAGGAAGACCACTGTCTGAGCAAAATAGCACCCAGACTGAAAAATATCTAAGAGCAAAAAGGGGAGGAGGCGGGTGCTGGTGGCTCACGCCTGTAATCCTAGCTACTCAGGAGGCAGCGATCAGTATGATTGTGGTTCAAAGCCAGCCCAGGCAAATAGTCTGCAAGCCCCTATCTCGAAAAAAATCCCAAAACAAAACCCTATCACAAAAGAAGACTGGTGGAGTGGCTCAAGGTGTAGGTCCTGAGTTCAAGCCCTAGTACTGAAAAAAAAAAAAAGGCCGGGAACGTGACTCAAGAGGTAGCAAGTGCTACCCTGAGTTCAAACTCTAGTAATGCAAAAAAAAAAAAACCAAAATAGTTTCAAACAATTAAAATGAAATGATAATATTTTCCTATCTTTTTGTGAATTTTGTACAATTTGAATTTTGACTTTAGGTATACTGCTGACAAGGATGATTAACAGGATCCTCCCTGGGATTTTTAGTGTTCCTCTATTAAATGGCAGAGAAGAGCAAGGCTTCAGCAGCCCCAGCAGTGTTTGCTACTGAGCTGCACACGTGGTTAGCACCCAGCTCTCGTTTGATTTGACAGGTGGAGGTGGGACAGGAAAGGCCCGAGATCCGCCAGCCCCAAAGGGCGGTAGCGTGTGGAGCCCAACGTGGGAGCGGGTCGGCTAAGGCGGATTCAGACCGCGGTGGGAGACCAGACTGCCGCGGAGGAAGCGAGGGTCTGCAGAACCTGAAGCAGCTGCAGACCTGCATACAAAGTGGGCGGTGGGAGCACCCACTCAACGCGTCGGGGGCGTGGCGAGGGGGGCGCGGCCTCACATAGCCCCGCCCTCCGAGTAGCGTAGGTGATTGGCGGGCGGGGGGCGGGAGACGCTCTGCCCCACGCTGGTCTAGGCTCAGTGGTTTAAAGATGGCGGCGGCGGCGGCGGCGGCGTTGGGGGTGCGGAGCCGTGGGAGGGGGAGGGAGGAGAGTCTGTGAGTCGTCGTAGAGATAGCGCTGCGGCTGCGGTGAGAAGTCCGGGTGCCGAACCGCCGGCGACCCTGCTCCGAGGGGGGCCTGGGGCTGGGAAAGAGAGGCCGAAGACGCGTCAGGAGCCGGAGGCCGGAGCCCAGGAGGAATGTGACCCGGGGTCGGCGGGGGCGCGGGAGTACGCGAGCGCCGGGATGGGGCAGCAGGTGGGCCGTGTCGGGGAGGCTCCGGGGCTCCAGCAGCCTCCGCCGCGCGGGATCCGGGGCAGCAGTGCAGCCAGGCCCTCCAGCCGCAGGCGGGACCCGGCGGGGCGCACCACGGAGACCGGCTTCAATATCTTCACCCAGCATGGTGAGCGTGTCCGGGAGCCGGCGTGAGGGCGCGGGGGAGGTCGGGGGTGGGGTCGGAGCTGGATGCCCGGCGGACCGGCAGCCCTAAGGGGAGTCGAGGGTGGAGGGGTGCCTGGGCGTGGGGGCGGAATCTGCTGCCATCTGGGCCAGTCACGGGAGGCGAGTCACACCCCTCCCCCTCTCGTCTCCAGGCTGGCTGGCAGCTTCTGGGGGCGGAGAGCGACAGGCAGTGGTCTTAGGGACCGTGGGCGGACTGTCCTCTGCCCTGAGACTGGGGTAAGAGGGTGGATGGTGTTTCCAAGCGGAGGGAAGGATGAGGGAGGGAATGTGGGAGGATGAGCCGGTTGTGACGGTAGGGAACCTGAGTTGTGCCCCTAAGAATTGGAAAACAGGAACTGAATGTCAAGGGATTGTGGCATGTAAGATATGTGCAGAAGTCAGGCGATGTGGTGTCAGAAGGGTGAACTGTGAGGAACAGTACCCGTACATACCTTTCTGGTGGAACGATAAAGGAAGTATCTCATTACTTCTGACATTCGTTTCCCTCCAAACTGGAAATGGAGGGGCTTTTCCAAAACCTCCCTGTTTGCACCTTGGAGTACACCACAGGAGACTGAGATGACTGGCAGGAGTTACAGGCTGGTGGGCATGGATGTGAACAAGAGTTTTTCTTTGTGCCGCGTTCGTGCGTGTTTGTGTATATGTGCATATGCGTACCTACTCGCATATATTGCATGTTGGTCAGGAGCCCCATTTGGTTCCATGTATTTTTGGAATTGCCTCTTAAACTTATGTCATACACTCTTAGCAGTAAAGATTTTGTATATGTATTCTAATAGTTTATATATTGTTGTCTTTATCAGTTAAATACAGAGGCTACTGTGCTAATATGTAACATATAAACCTAAGAAAGGAAGACATGAAAAAATAAGTATAGGGCAGGGACTGTGAATCAGTAGTAGAGTGCATGAGTGAGGCTCTGAGTTCTATCCCCAGCACCAAAAGAACAAAACAAAAAAATAAATATAGTAAGAGTTTTTATTTTCCCCCCGACAGCCCAGCGGATCCTTTTTGCTTTTGCATTTCTTCAGCAGTGTACTTGCACTTTTTTTTTTTTTTTTTCGAACTTAGGTTTGAACCCAGGGCATGCTAAGCAGGTGCTCTACCACTTCAGCCATGCCTCCAGCCCTGCACCACTTTTGAGACTACTTTTCTCGAGGAAGAAAGAGGAGGGGGGAGAGAGAGAGAGAGAGAGAGAGAGAGAGAGAGAGAGAGAGAATGAGAATGAATGAATGTGTGTGTGTGTGTGTGTGTGTGTGTGTGTGTGTGTAGGAAACAAAGTAAAATTGACTTGCATGCAATTGAAATACCCTAAGACCTGAGAGGGACTGGAGATGTAGATATGACTTCTATAGAAACGATTGGATAATTGAAATTGGATGAGAAGTAGCCAACTGGCTTTTCACTGAGGATGCATTTAGAAAAGAATAAAAGATAAAAGATGGTGAGTATTCTTTCTCTATCCCACACAGTTTAGGGAAGGGGAAGAAGAAAAGGTGTGAACTCCTCATTAGAAATGGATCTTTGGAGGAAGTAATGGTAGATGGTAGCATTCAGAGCAAGATGAACCCAAGGATTTGTGGCAACTTAAGTGAGTTGTGCTAGAGGGTTCTGTGTTTGGACTTGTGAAGAAACTGAGTTCTTAATTGATGAGATATAGGTGATCTGGGCCATCCTAGGTTTACATATCTGTTATTAAATGTGTGCTTGAGTGACAAAACAAGGTATGTGAATATTTTATGCAGGTGCAGTATGTGTTAGTCTTTATTGGAATCACTTCCTAAAACATAGGAATGGATTAATAGGTTTTATTTATTTTTGGTCATGCTGAGGTTGAACTCAAGCCTTGTGCTTGCTAGGCAGGTGCTCTACCACTTAAGCCACACTACTAGCCCTTTTTGCTTTAACTGATTTTCAGGTAGGGACTTGTGTTTTTTGCTGCCACTAGCCTCTACCTCGATCCTCCTACTTATGCCTGGAATGACAGGTGTGTGCCACTAAGCCAAGGTTTTTTGTTGAGATGGGGTTTCACTACCTTTTTGCTGGTTCTGGCTTCCTCTTCATCTACACCTCCTAGGTAACTGAGAACGAACGAGCCACTGAAGCCAGTCCTGAATTAATAGTTTTTAGAGAAGAAATTCATCCAAGTAGCTTTGCTTTGTGCGAAAGGTTTCTATGCATTAAACTTGGGCTATGTGGCAGCAATAATCCTCTTTAGTATTCAGTGCCTAAAATTTTTAGAGTAGGAAGTCATGAAGAATGGAATAGGAAGAGATTGTGAAGGTTGGACAGAATTTGGATATATGAAGCAGGAAAATGAGAGCAAGCTGAGCAAGAGAAAACTTGAGCAAGGACAATGGGAATGGCTGTAGTTCATTGATGGGACAGTGAGGAGACATCTGTCAGGGGTTAAGTAGCTTTATGAGTTGCGGGGGAAAAAAAATCCAAGAGAAAAATTTAGAAGAGTCAAGTTCTAGTCTTGCTGTATCTGACTTGGTGATTTTTTAATTGCCGAGACAGGGTTTCAAGGCCCAAGCTGGCCTCAAACTCCCAGTCTTCCTGTTTCAGCTTCCCAAGTGCTGGAATTATGGCCATGGATGTCCAGCTGCCATCTTTGTGTTCCTTTATCTGTAAAATGAGAGATACCCTTTCGCTTTACATTTATGATTCTAATTAAGTAGTGAGAAGAAACTTTGAGTAGGTTTGATAAAAGTGGGTTATGGGAAATACAGCAGCTAAATTTATGTTAGTTTAGTTGATAGCTAGTTCATAGGGTCTATCAATAAACTCAAGTATGAAATGCTGAAAGATTGGTTTTTGAAGGTAGTGGGCTAGAGGAAGTAGAAATCAGAGGGGTAAGTTCAAGGAATATTTTGCTCATTCAGTAAACACAAGGTTTTTTGAGCACGTATTATTGTACTTGACTCTGAGAAGCCCTCTCTTTGAGGAATTTAAAGGACTTCATAATTCAACCTAGAGGATTAAAGGAGAGATCACTTTGGAGAACTTGTTGAAGGCGTGAACTCTGAGCCATATTGCCTGGATTTGAAACCTGACTCAGCTGCTTATTAGTTGTGTGACCTTGGGCAAGTTATGCCTTGGATGCTCCATTTGCAAAATGAGGATAATAATAGTTCCTAGCATTACATGAGTTAGTATATGCATGCCTGTCACATACTAAGAGCTCAGTGTTTGTTACTACTATTATTATTATTATTTAAAACAGGGATGAATTGAAGGTAACACCAAGGTTTTGAACCTGGCTAACTGGGATCCTGATACTTTTATTGTCAGGTTTGGAAATTAGAAGCTGATTGAAGGGATGAGAATAGGGTAAGAGTGTTGCTAAAGACTAATAGGAAAAAAAAAAGGAATTAGCAAATAATATAGAAAACAAAGGTGGATGAAGTACTGTTTTTAGACATATGGGTGTTTAAATTTTTGTTTAAATCAGAGTCATTTTGGACTGGATAATATGTTGTTTCTGTCTGTTGTGTGCATTATGGGATGTTTAGCAGCATCCCTGACCTCTACCTACTAGATGCCAGTGGCACCCACTTCTTTTCCCTCAGGTACAAGCAAAAATGTCTCCACAATGCTAAATACTTAGTTGATAACTACTGTTAAGAAATATGTGGCAGGCAGGGTGCCACTGGCTCACGCCTGTAATCCTAGCTACTTGGGAGGCAGAGATTAGGAGGATCCGGGTTAGAAGCCAGCCCCCAGCAAATAGTTCACGAGACTTTATCTTGAAAAACATCCATCACAAAAAAAGGACTAGTGGAGGCTCAAGAGGTAAGAGTGCTAGCCTAGCAAGTGTGAGGACCTGAATTTGAACCCTAGTGCTGCCAAAAAAAAAAAAAAAAAAAAAAAAAGGCAGATTCTCAATTGGAAGAATAAATGAGTTAAATTCGGAAGCTCCTCATTAGACATACCATTAAGACCTTTATGTGAAAGAAGAATCTAGATCCTAGAACAGTATAAATAGTTTTGAGTTTATAATATTGAGGTATTAGCGCATAATTTCATACACAAAAATTAGGTCTGACAGGCTCTTTACATGTAGGTTTTAATGTAAGTCACATGTTACATGTAACATCCAGTTAATTAGTCTGTTTTTTTCTCTTTATCCCAAATGGCAGTTTTTTTCATTGTTAATAATATGTGAGTAAGCTTATTTTAATAATTTGCCTTGCCCAAAGTATTTTTGTGAATGTAATTTAGAAGGAATAAAATCATAGGATGATTTTTGCTATATGACTTTTCTAAACTTTGCAGTTGAAGCTTTTTAGTGAGGTAATGTTTATGACTAGTAACCTATGGTTGAATACATACCTTTTTTTTTTTTCAGTATCTGACATACTTTTCAACAGTTAAATGATTTCACCTCTCATTTTCTGAAAATTCTATTAAAATTAACCATAAACTAGGAGGCTTTAAATAATAAACTTTTTCTCTTCAGCAAAACATCGATTTAAATTGTCTGTTTTTTTTTTCTATTGGCTTTTTAGTTCATGTTTTAATCTTTAAAGGATAAAACGTATGGTCACCACAAGTTGAAAATGACACTCTAGAAAGATACGGTGACTTGGTATAACGATCAGATTCTTTTTTTTTTTTTTTTTTTTTTTTTTGAGACAGGTTCTTTCGTTGTAGCCCAGGCTGGTCTAGAACTCCCCAGCCATCCTTCTGCCTCCCTACTGCTGGGATTACAGGTGTGTACCACCATGCCAGCAGTGGTGAAACTAAACATCTTTTTTTTTTTTTAATCAGTTATTTAGTCATATTGGGGAGCTAATGGAGGGCCTTGCACATGCAAGGCAAGTGATCTACCTCTGAGCTTCCCCCTGTTCTGATAATTAAAGTTGTAAAAAAGAAATCAGCTCTTGGATTTTTTTATTAATCTCCAAATCTGTGTAAGTTACAGATATATTATTAACT